GCATGTATCTTTTTAGCTTTCTCGCAAATAATTGCTTCTGTTACGCTGTCGGCAGCACACTGTTTTTCAGTTGTCCAAAGCAAAAGCAATTTCTCGACACTATCTAATGTCTTCGATCTCTGTTTAGAAATTAATTTAACCCCTTTTGCAACGTTAGCAAATTTAATAATGTCTTTATTTTTCACGATTGTCGGTATCGTCGTTCTCGGAATACAGTACGCAACAGTTAAATCTCAAACACGCGTGCCACCTTCATATTTCTCAACAATCTCTTTTTTCAGTTTCATTGTGATTTTACTCATTTTTTTTATTTTTCTGTTGCTTTTTTGCAATTCATGATTAATAAAAATAATAACGTTTTACTTACAAATCACGCCGTACATACGCGCCATCTATGAACAAGTAGCACTATCAGCGTACTAGACCAGACTAGACGTTCGCAGTGCCACAGTTTATAACTTTGTTAAATTTCTTTTTATTTTAATTAGACATTTAACAAAGTTATAAACTGTGGCACCGCGAACGTCTAGTCTGGTCTAATACACCGATAGTGCTACTTGTTCATAGATGGCGCGTATAATTGAATTAAGTCGTATACCGAACGAAAGTCGTATACCGAGCAAAATTTGTTTCGTCCAAACAGGACGTATTCCGAATTGGACATATTCTAAAGCAGACATATACCGAGGTACCACTGTACTTAAAAAAGAAAACCTGTTAATTCTAATGCAAAGACAGAAACATCACAAATTAACATACAATCATTGTATAGTAATAAATTTGGTAACTCAAACTGTTGTAATATAAATTGCTAAATCCAAGAATTTTTTTAAATTGATAGTGTAACAATTTGATAATGATTGCTATAACTTAACAATTAAATGACAGATCCATGCAAAGTGCTCAATATGAGCATTTGCAAGAACATTAGGAAATTTTAAATTTAAATAAAAAGTGTTTTAGAATTTAATAATAATATCTTATATAGAATTGTAACAGATCAAGCAATAGTTATAAACAATACTTAAAAGGATACTAGGATTTCTTTTATCTTCATTAATTACAATAATATCTGTAAATTCTTTTTTTATTGCCATTTTTATAAGATTTTTTATACTAAATTTACGTCTCCAATGTAAATGTGCATTAGGTATAGTTTGTCTTAATTCTCTAGCAAACAATAATGTTTTCTGAAAAATGCAATTTATACTATAAAATAAATTCATAACACTCATAACTATTTATATAAAAATTTATCTACATTTATGTAAACTATACCATATTAACTTACGGTATGTGGTTTTTCAGCTGTTGTTATCAAAATTTTCGGTACAACGTCTCTATTGAAATAATTGGACATTTCATCTGTATCTAAGTCATATTGAATCTAATAAGAAATAAGTTAAAATAATAAATATCAACTTTTCAATATAATTTCTATTTTTTTGAAATATAATATATTCATTAATTATCAAAAATGAGGTTATCAAATTAATTAACAATAACTGCATATAACTCAATTTACAGGTTATTAGTAAAAAATAAACCAGCAACATTTAAAATTTTGGTGATATTTTATTAAAAAACTTTTTATATTTTTAACTATTATAAAATGGCAAGAAACTTCATTTTGAGGGTAGGGATGAGTGTTATAAAAAATTGTAAATGCTAATAACAAGTAAATTTGTCATTAAGTCTGACTCTACTGGAGATACACACTATCCCCATTATCTCCCCACTCCCTTGATCTTTAACCACCAAAATTTAATAGCATCAATACCCCTAATCAAGAAACCTCCCTGCAAAATTTCAGAAATTTTTGACAAAAAGCACAAGAGTTATTAAGCTTCAAACAGGGTGAACAAAATTGTGCCCCACATCCACCCATACAAACAGAAATTACCCCCAAATTTCTTTGCATTTCTCGACATTTCAAGATGGCCTAAGTCTAAAAATGTAAAAATCTTGAGGGAATCATTTATAGGTAAATATAATTAGATGTCCTATTTGAAGGGTCTAAAGATTGTAAAAATACCTGTTAAGTAGAGGTATCAGCTATTTGGAAGTGTCTGATAATGGAGGTTTTACTGTATTTTTAATTAGAAATAACTGTGTACAATAATAACTGTTACTCTAAGAACTAATCTAGTTATTAGTTATCAGGGATGTAATAGTCTTTATACAAATATATTTTAAAAATAAAAATAAACCTATTTTTATAATATTCACAATACATTTAACAATCTCTTGCACACCAGAGTGCTGCATTCACCATTTGAGAATCATTGATGTAGGGAATACCAAAGCAATTACAACAATTGGATTTTATTATATTTATTTATTTTTAAAAGAAAAAATACTTACCTCTTCATCTTCACCATCAACAAAAGTTTCATCTGGTTCTCTGGTATTTTCAATTGTCCTTGGTGCTTGTTTTGGAGGTGCCTTTAGAAGTTAAAAAACATTTATTTTTAAAAGTTAGAACTATTTTCAATAATAATAAATAATAATAATAATTCTTTCTCAGGTAAGCAGATTACAAAGTTCTGTGCATCCACACAAACACAACTGAGTAAATCATCTATTAGACATTGCATACATTTATTCCAATAACAATCAAATGTAGTTTGGCATAGACAAAAGCAAAACATTTCACATAGAAAAAGAAATTTTGAAGAATAATTATTATATACTGTACTTGAAAATGAAGACATCAGTGAATCTATGAATGATGGCAAAGTCTACAAATACTTAGGATTTTACACAAACAACATTAACAAAACATAATTAACACCATCCTAGATTGGCCATTTGTTATCTTAATTGCTTAGCCATCCAACCATCTTAAATCTTTGATGGCTGGATGGCCAAGCAATTAAGATAAAACAACATGGGATCAAATCCTAATGGGTTGAAAAACCACAGTAATTTTTTGGGAGGTGGTCCATCCAGATATGCCAGGACCCATCCCTCACCACCTAGCTGCTTGGTAAATACTATAAACACACCACAAGTTTATCGTTGACTTCATTATCATCATTATTTTGAAGCCTTATTTTGAGATATGCCTTTATTTTTGCTAATAATGAAAAACGCTCTGCTGATTTAATGAGATACATCTTTCAGAATTAAAACATAACTACAACTTAAAATAAAATTTGTCTCAAAGTAACTAAATCAACTAATTGCTTTCAAAATAAAATGTTTTGTGTGCAATAAAAACAAAATGAAGAGAGACATTATTGTACTAAAGAGTTTTTAATGACAAACATAAAATCAACAATAAACACAAAAATATGAGTAAATTGACATAAGGATAAACTAAGAAGAAAAACGTAAGGTACAAAAAAAAAACTTTGGAAAAAGAAATGAACGAACTTGGTGATCAGATGGGCAAAAGTTATAGAAAGTAAGTGGATTATATTCNCTATAAACACACCACAAGTTTATCGTTGACTTCATTATTATTATTATTTTGAAGCCTTATTTTGAGATAGGCCTTTATTTTTGCTAATAATAAAAAGCTCTCTGCTGATTTAATGAGATACACCTTTCAGAATTAAGACATAACTACAACTTAAAATAAATAAAATTTGGTTCAAAGTAACTAAATCAACTAATTGCTTTTAAAATAAAATGCTTTATGTGCAATAAAAACAAAATGAAGAGAGACATTATTGTACTAAAGAGTTTTTAATGACAAACATAAAATCAACAATAAACACAAAAATATGACTAAATTGACACGAGGATAAACTATTTAAGAAGAAAACACGAGGTACAAAAGTGAGTTAAAAAAATACTTTGGAAAAACAAAAATTCAATTCAAAAATTTTGTTTAAACCCATTAATATATGTCAGAAACTGAAAGATGCTAAATGGTAAAGTAGGCTACCTGCTTACTGGTATATCACTTAAAGTGCAATAATACAGTATATTTCTTGAATAAAGATGAAAACAAAAATAAAAATGAACAAAGCTTTTTTTTTGACAAGAGAAGAAACTAAACTGTATGTAACAACATTTTCCCTTTTTTTCCTTTTANTATTTAAGAAGAAAACACGAGGTACAAAAGTGAGTTAAAAAAATACTTTGGAAAAAGAAAAATTCAATTCAAAAATTTTGTTTAAACCCATTAATATATGTCAGAAACTGAAAGATACTAAATGGTAAAGTAGGCTACCTGCTTACTGGTATATCACTTAAAGTGTAATAATACAGTATAATATTTCTTGAATAAAGATGAAAACAAAAATAAACAAAGTTTTTTTTTGACAAGAGAAGAAACTAAATTGTAACAACATTTTCACTTTTTTTCCTTTTACTCTTCCAAATGAGGCAAAGGTTTATAAAACTGGACGTGTTCAGGCAAATTTATTATTGGTATTGGTCCAGAGCAAAGAGCAATTAGATCATTGTACTTTTCCAATGACAATGGATGAGATAAGTTATTTAAGTCATTAAGTTGTTTTGTCAACAGTGTACATTTTGCCGTTTTAAAGTCAACGATCAGTAGTTGTGATCAACATGGCTTGTTTTAAAAAATTTTTTACATAATTCATTCTGCCTTATATTGAATTCAACAATGTCTGTCCATTTAAAAATTTTTTCCTCATTGTCAATTCAAATAGAATGTGCTGTAAGGTTATCACTAAACTTTATAAAGTTTAAAAAATCATAATAACTTAAAGAGTGCACTATATAAGACTTTCCCTTTCTTGCTAGACAAAAGACTGATATAAGCTGAGAAGGCACAAACAATTCACCAGCCTTTTTAATCACATATGAGATCTCACTGTGAACGGAGTCTCCTTTACATTGTCCGTGATTAGTGGTAAAGAAACGAAGACTCACTTCATATAAGTGTTTCAACTGCAAAAACAATGTCCTGACACAATGAAATTCTAATTTTGTCCACCACAACCATCAGCAAATAAATTGGCAGTGTGGACCTTCCTTAATACGAGTATTAATTTTTCAATAAGACAAAATATATTAAATGTGGTGGTCATGTGACTGGAAAAATATGGCTGCTCAGCGTTTTACCCAGGGCTGTGGAGTTGCGTAAAAATCTACCAACTCCAACTCCGACTTTTCCTTACCAATCCGACTCCGGCTAAAACACCAAAACTCCACAACTCCGACTCTGACTCCATAGCCCTGCCAGGGCTTTAGAGTCGTGTAAAAATCTACCGACTCCGACTCTTCCTTACAATCCGACTCCGGCTAAAACACCGAAACTCCACAACTCTGACTCCAACTCCACAGCCCTGCTTTTACCTCAAAATATTTTCCTCTGGTTGAGTCTCATTTCACTAAATCAGAGTATGCAGAAAGAGAATTTCACATAATCTCCAGGTAATTTTGCAACAAAGAGGCATAAGTCTACCGTGTTTCCCCGAAAATAAGACAGTGTCTTATATTAATTTTTGCTCTGAAAAATGCACTAGGTCTTATTTTCAGGGAATGTCTTATTTTTTCCAGGAAGAATTCGCATTTATTATTGAACAAAAAAATTCCCAAGTCGAACTTAGACGAGAGTGACGTTTATCCGGTGTGTTGAACTGTCACCTTCTTATAGCGTCAACATCGGACTCGATAACCAATTAGTGCTTACTGAACAGTAGCACTATGCAAATGTCATGTTGCGTGATTCCCGGCCGACCAATTAGCCATCACCAGCCGTAACGTTATGCAAATCTGTGATTCCCAAGCCATAGTCTTATGCAAATCATGCCGTGTGGCGTAATTGTCTGCTGACCAATCAGTGGCTGTACTTTCAAAAAGCCAACGGCCACTTTCAACCATCTGTCGATGACCGTTACGACTAAAAAAAAAAATAAAATAAAAACTTCGCTAGGTCTTACTTTCAGGGGGAGGTCTTATATTTCGCAATTCAGCAAAATCTGTGCTAGGTCTTATTTTCTGCGGATGTCTTATTTTCGGGGAAACACGGTAGATACATCTTTAAAATCATTTAAAAACACAGTGTTTATGGCATTGCTTAAGAAACGTTCATAAGTTATAATATCAGATATTTGAGAAACACCCAGTGTATCATTTCATAGAATGCAAACGGTGTTACGTAGAGATACTCTGCTCCAACACAACACGAAGGACATAGGCTTATATTTAAAGGCATATCATTTTAGCCAAATTTTGAGATACACCTTTACGTATTTTCACTGACAATATATCATATATATGTATCTGTACCAAACATCTACATCATAAAAATACACTGAAAAAAATTAGTAAATACTCAGAACTCACCCACAAAATAAAGCATCTGTGGACAACGATAAAGTACTTATCCATTATCCTATCTTAATATAAAATTAACAGATCTATCTTGTATAGGCATCATGTCAAATACACTACAAAAAAGTCTAGAAACATTAGGACTGCACAACAACACATTACAAAAAGCAGCTGTACTAAACACATCACATAGGCAGAAATTCTTATATACAGATAAGATACATAAAATACATTTTAAAGGTGTATATTTCGCAAGAAATTATGAACCTATGACATATACAAGTTTGCAAACTGTAATTCATAAACAATTTTCTATGCATTACGAATAGATACAATTTTTTTAAATGAAATTTCATATTGGAATTTGTATTAATTGATACAACCACTGTTTGCATATACATATATAAAAGGATTTAGACAAATTTATTAAACCATGCATATAAAATTCAATTAACTATTCAATTATTGATTACAATTTAGTTTTTTCTTAAAAGAATGACTTTGCTTTAATATTTTTATGCTAAATATTCAATTTTCAAATTACATTATTATTATTATTAAATCAATTAAAACAGACATTATTTTAAAAATCTAACTTACATCATCACCTAAGAGTTGATATTCTTTCTGCCTTTTCTTTCGCAGTTTCCGCTTAACCTAGAAAATTCAAATTAAAATATTCCGTTTTAAAATAATTTTTGACTATACTAAAAACTAGAAATCAGAATTACTTTATATAATGAATTAAATGTATATTTTTTAACAGTTTACCAAAATAAAATCTGAATTAACCCATCAGCATACGCTTAGTGCTGATTAGGCACTAATCAATTTTTAATTATCAATAGTTAGTGTAAAAAATTCCAACTGTTTGAAAAATCTGAAAAAAATTACTACTACAACTAATTTATTACTATAATAAATTACTACTACAACTAAAAATTACTATTACAACTAATTTTTCTTTAATTTTACTATATGCAATTCAGTTTTTGCTTAAAGCATTTCATTATTTTTATTTAATAATTGGTGTCATATTGACACTATGACGTGCATGATCTTGGATTTAAATTTTCAAATTTCCCACCAGTTGCTGTTACTAAAAATAGCTGCAGTGACAGCATGTGCTTATTCACTTATAATCGCATTATTTTAAAGCAAATAACTTCTAAAAAGCTCAGATTTGACCTGGAAATATTTCAATTTTTTTATTGGTATTTTTTAATAATTTTATAAAGTTTTATGATACCATGCCCCATATAATTTTTGTANTAAAATTTTAAGATAAGAATTACTTTGGTCATAAAAAATAGAAAAATGATAAAATAAATAAATAATTATAGTGTTAGATCTGGCAATAACTATAGATGATTTTGCGCATGCTCACAATGGACTGCTCCGTAAACCGTAAGAAAAGTTTGTTCCCTTACGGATACGGATAAGCCCTTACGGTAGTTTATAACTTTTGCTATAGATATCCAATGTAGCAAACATTTACGAATACGGTTACGGTTACGTTACGGAGTTTATAACTCGACCCTAAGGCTTACCGTAAAGAACTCTGCTTCTAGTTATACTATTTAAGATGTGGTTTTTTGCGTTTTTGATTGCGTTTTAATAGGGTACGTCAACAGAATGTACACTAAGAAGGAATTTTTCGATATTCTCCCACGGGGAGAGGGACAGAATTCAGGCTTACCGTGAAGAACTTGGCTTCTATTATATTATTTTAGATGCGGGTTTTTGCGTTTTTGATTGTGTTTTAATAAAGTACGTCAAGAGAATGTACACTAAGAAGAAATTTTTCGAAAAATTCCCCCCCACGGGGGAAGTGTTATACATTTATAATAGATACATTTTGAGCCACAACAACGCGTGGCGGGGTCTGCTAGTATACAATATTGTAAAGAACAAAGTCATGTTCCAAGAACTCAGAAAGTTCATTAAAACCATATGTAGGGCGAAGACACCCCAAACGCGTAACTAGTTGTAAGTTTAAACCTTGTTACTTTTGTTATTGTAAAAAATATTACTGTTATAGAAATCAGTTTAATAAAAGTTTGTTGATTTATTGTTAATTGAAACCTGTTGGCACGCGCCTAGTGCCGATTAGGCACTAATCGAGTTTTAGTTAGTGTCAACTTCTAATTGTTTGAAAAATCTGAAAAAATGATTACTTGGCTAATTTTTCTTTAATTTTACGATGCGCTATTCAGTTTTTCCTTCATTAAAGCCTTTCATTATTTTTATTTAATAATTGGTGTCAAATCGGCACTGTGGCTCGGATTTCAATTTTCAAATTTTTCGCCAGTTGTGTTACTAACAATAGCCGCGCGCGCTTTTGCACTTATAATCGCGTTATATGCGAGGTTGCGGCCGAAGTTTTCAACGCGAAAACTTCGGCCGCAACCTCGCTATTTTAAAGCAAATAACTTTTTTAAAACTCAAATTTGACCCGGAAATAATTTAGTTTTTTCCATTGGTATTTTTAAATCACTTTATTAAGTTTTATGACACCATGCCTTATAGGGAAGGTGGGGCAAGATGAGAACGTTAAGGTTTGAAAAGTCATAAGATGACAACCACTTTGATGAGAACGATAATTTTTTTATTATCAGCAACTACAACGTTTGATAATATATAATACAAAATTTAATTTTTGAAAAACGCTTTTAAAAACAAGAAAATTTAATATTTTAAAATTATATGTAAATGCACCATCTTGCCCCACCCGTGGGGTAATATGGAAATATTATTTTTATATACAGGAAGGATAAATTAAAATGGTTAAACTGTCATTTTCTTCAATATTCGCACAAGAACAATGCGCCTATTTATCACAACGGCTACATTTATTATTATTTTCCGAATAAATAAATATAAAAGTTTGAACTTACTCGTATTTTACTTTACCAGACGATACCGTTGCTTAGCGCATACTCAGTTTCGCTATTTTGTAAGCAGACGATATTTTTTTTCATGGAAAAAATTTTTATTTTGATTGTTATCTGGCATTTTATTTCTTGTTAAGATAGTATTTAAATTTAAAAAATGTTTTCATAAATAAAATAAAGCCTCTAGCAGCAGCGGTTGGCCATGAATTCTGCTGCTGATGGTGGGGTAATGATGGGGTATCCCATCTTACCCCACCATCTTGCCCCAACGTGCACTTTTCATACTGACTGCAAATATAGGTTAACTTTATTTCAAAACTAAACAATTACAGTCTTAAAGGTTACTTCGAATACCATAATATCTTCATCTAAAAGGTAATGTAAAAGTTCACAATGATACTTACTTTGTAGAAACTTTGTAGCGGGCGTAATATTAGATAAAGTATTGCTGAAACATGAGAAACTGTCTTACTTCCAAACAAAGAGAGTGATTCGGACGTTCTCTCGTCCCGCGATCCCTTTTGAGGTTAACATTTAGTTCCCCAAATAGCAACTAGATGAAAGCGCGTTAACCACGAATAAACAGACGTCCCCGTCTTACTCCATGGCCCCATCTTGCACCACTTTTCCCTATAATTTCTGTATTTTTTTTCATTTTATGAATATAAAAATGCAAGCGACTGTAATACTGTATATAAATTAAAGTATTTTCGTTTATTAAGTGCATCTATGTGTCCAGCGGATACACAGCGGTTTTTTTTTAAATCGAATTGTTTAAAAATAAAACAGTTGAAATGCAGGCTTTTTAGTGTTTCTCAACTGATATGTTCTGAAGCGATACCCACAGTAGTTTTCGAGTTTATGCTTTTTTTTCAGAGAAATTTTACGAAAATTATTATCTTTTCACCACCTGCAGTAAATTCTCTCGCAGTGTGAGAACGCTGTACTCTCGCTATAGTTATGTGCAACAATTGCGATTTAATAAAATAACTATGTAGAATATTTNGTATTTCTCAACTGATATGTTCTGAAGTGATTCCCACAGTAGTTTTCAAGTTTATGACCTTTTTAGAGAAATTTTATGAAAACCAATACCTTTTCACCACCTGCAGTAAATTCTCTCACAGTGTGAGTGCTGTACTCTTGCAATTGTTATGTGCAACAATCGCAAGAGTAATTTAATAAAATAACTATGTAGAATATTTAAGCTTTACCACAAAGCTATACATTATATCTTTTTCTCCTGGTTTCAATGACAGGACCAATCCCAATACAAATCATTGCAGCTTTTTTTTGACAACATGATTTTCTCACTTCGGTGTTATTACCCTGCTGTCTTGCAATCATTTGTATGATAAGAAATCTAATACTTTCAATTTTGCAACAATTAAAATTTATGTTCATAACGTAGCAATACCATTTAGTAATTGTGACCCAAACATTTATTTGGTAATTTTATAAATATTTTTTAAATTATTAAATATAAAACTATAGAATTCATTACTGGCAATACCAGTTGTCAGATCTGAAACAAAACGTTCCTAAGTGCAAGAAAACGATTTGCTAGTTATTTAGCCTATTACTGACAAGAGATCAAATTACAGTAAATATAAATAAAAATCTCAGTTTTTTAAACCCACAAGTATTTTATACTGTTGGATAGTACGGTAGAGAAAATGTAGAAATTGAAAATATAATCATAGTCGAACATATATATATCAGTAAGAATATAAAAATTTCATTAAAATAACGTTCTCGGATGAACGTCTGAAATGAAAAAGTAATTGAATCGAGTCCCACCGCCATATTGATTAACGCGCCACAGTAATTACCGGTAATCGATTTCCAGCGCGTCGCGTTACATCAAATTAAATAATTTATAAAAATTAAAATAATAAACATGTATATAAATTAATTGACTATATCTGTTCGCAATAATATCGTAAAACAGACTGCACTTACAGTTTAGCATTTCCGATAATATTTAATTAATTTTTGAATTTTATTATATTTTTATATATATAAATCTAAGAAAAATATATAAATGCGTAAAGCTTAATAAGAAAAAAATACCTGCAACTTCAGACAATACAAAGATATTAGAATCCATCAAAATGCTGTTTCTCACAGTACCGAATCAAGTAAAATTATATATTTTTTATATAGTAGTATAATTAATAAATTATTTTTAAAAAATTAAATTTGCCTTTATTTGGGTTAATAAAGCTTTTTCATTTTGAAAAAATTGTTTCGTTTCATTTTATATTAAAATTTGTTTTATCATTTATAAAATAATTTAAGTCTTTTATCAATAGAAATTCTCATATGAATAAAATTTTGAAATCAAGCAATATATTCAAATTTATCGAAGAAATTTAAGCTCCCGTTTCCACTTCACTTCTTGTTAATTTGCTAAAAACGAAAATAAAAACAAGTCTTTTTTAGTATGAATACATCAATTTTTTAGTTATCGTTTAACAAAATTATATTTATAATACGACATAATATAATATAAATCGTATACTTGGGCAAAGTTTCGTTTTTTGAATGATCACACAGAGCTTTCATTTCTAAGAGACTCAGTCTCAAACTTTTGGCGAAATTTTCTGAATTTGTCGATTTATTTTTATAAGATGATATGCAGAAAGTGAGACAGTTTTTCTCGTGATTGTAAGTACAACAGTAACCGTCTGCAACAACAGGTCCATAACCGCATATAATATCGTAATTATTATGAAACTGTAAAGAAAATTCTTCAAAGTTATCAACTAAAAATATAGAATGAGAAATTAGAAGAAAGTATTTGATACTCGATAGACACGTAATCGGTAATTCATAAAATTCTTATAAAAATCTTCTTCGAACAGAATCGGTACGGGTAATCCTTTAAGTGCTGCAATTCGTTTGAGGCACATCAGATGATTATCGGGTCCTTCTCCATTCAGGGTCTATGTAAAAATTAGTGTTTGAATTTTTCATGCTGTTTATAATTGTAAATGACGGAAATGACTGCTTGAAACTCACATAAGTGAAAATTTCCGTTTGTTTATCTACTGCTTTACGAAACTTCTGAAATTTTGTACCCTATATTGGTATAGACATAATAAAAGTTATTTAGACACGTAATAATTATATTCAGGTTATTGTTTGAGATCATACCCAATTTACAGAAGAATCAAATAAATGTTTAGCAAACTCTAGAACTTCTTCACTGCACGATCGAATGNTATTATTCTAATATTGTTATATCATAAATACAAGCAGTGGCATACTCACAAGAGGGCCAATAGGCCCTGGCACCCTCCAAACAGGAAAATAAATACTAAAAAATTTTCCAAAAATCTTTTTCTTAAATAAAATTTATTTTTTATTTATACTGTATCATGTTTTCCATTTCTACACTACTTAAGAATTAGTGATTACATAAGGTGGGAATTTTATTGTATTTGCATTAAAAATTTTAGTCAAAGTCTACCTAGGTAGTCCCAATGGTTGCACTTCCGACTGTTCGTGTTCCTGACGGACTCCTCCTGGAGGGGGCCGCCAGCAGGCCGTCGAGCGTTTAACGTCACTAGTTATTGATTCACGGTAGTTCTTGAAGAAAAAAAAGTCTACTAAAAATATAGTTAATCTAACCTAACCCCTAACTGTTGCCATTGGGGTTACCTAGGTAGAATTTAACCAAAAATTTATCCATTTAACTCGAATCCCCCAACATTAAATCCTGAGTGAGCTACTGAAGACAAGGGTAAGATTGCAGATGTACTGTAAATGACACTGTTGGGATCTTAACAGAGCTGTAGAGCATGTCAAAAGAGTCACATGTAGAGGTATGGTTCCTTTGACTTTTTTGCTCCTATGGGAAGCTCT